CGAGGACAAGGTCCTCTACTGCTTCCACGTCCAGAGCGCCGCGCTCGACCGCTGCTGCCCCATCGACGACGCCAAGGACGTCGTCGGGCTCGCGGTGCACCCGCACCGGAACGTCGTCGCGTCCTTTGGCGACGGCGACAAGCTCCTGCTCTGGAAGTCGTAACGCTCCCTAGGGCGGGCGGCGGCACCGCGCGCGGGGCGGGAGCGCGTCGGCGGCGACGTGGTCCCAGACGCCCGCGGGGCAGGGCGTGTCGACGTCCGTGTCGCCGGCGACGAGCGCGATCTTGTCCCGCGTGACGGGGTCGAGCAGCGCGGTCACGGTGTTCATGATCATCGCCGCCCAGTACGGCACCGGGAAGACGACGACGGTGCGCAGGCGCTCCGGGTAGCAGTCGGGGGCCGTGCCGAGGATGGCGCGGAGCAGCGGCAGGAAGGACCAGCCCGCGGGGCTCGGCCAGCCCCGGCAGGGCCGGCAGTCGACGACGACGACGACGCGATTGGCGTCGGCCGCGGCGCAGGCGGCGTCCATGTGCGAGCAGAGCAGCGCGACGTAGGCCGCGTGGTCGAAGGCGCTGTCGTAGCGCGCGCCCTCGACGAGCAGCACGCGGTCGCCGGCCGTTTTCGGGCCGAGGCTCGCGAAGCCCTCGCTGATCGTGCCGCCGAGCGGCGCCGCGGCCTCGGCCAGCGCGGCCGCGGAGCCGTCGGCCTCGCGCCAGGCGAGGTACTTGGCGTACAAGGCCAGCGCGTCCTCTTGGCTGTCGGGCCGCGCGTCGGCGAAGCGGCGCAGCTCCGCCGCGGGCGCATCAGGGTAGGTCTCCGTCAAGGCTTGGAGCGACGCCGACAGCGGCGCGTCGCGCGTGATTTCGACGGTGTCGGTCATGTCGGTTTCGTTGTGACGACGGGGCTGGCCCGTCGTCAAACTGTTGTCGTCGTTGCACGCCGTAGCGTTCGCGTCGTGGCGCAGAACTGAGATCGCGGCGCTCTCCGTCTTCACCATGGTCATGTCTTCACGTTGACTGCATCCGAAGCTCAACAAAGAGCATCTGGGCATGGCTCGAGCAAATCTCCTCTGCGTAGCCGTCGTGTTCGCCGTCGTCAACTCTCTCCAGCAACCACGGACTGCACCAATTTCACGCGCAAGCCGCCTCTACGCCTTCAGCGACCTCGCGACGCATCTCATTGCTCTTGATGTCGAGGCATTCAAATCTTCGCATCTCATTGCTCTCGAGCTGCCGGATGTCGAGGCAATCAAATCTTCGGTTACCGACAATCTCGACGCCGCCGTAGCGGCCAAAACCAGCGCGCTGGACGCCATCGAAGCGACGAAATCGTTGGCCGAGGCCGCCAAAGACACGGTCCTCGCGCCGCTCAAGTCCGCGCAGGAGTCGCTCGAAGCCACCAAAACCTCAGTCGAGGCCGCCAAAGACAGCGCCGTCGGCACGGTCCTCGCGCCGATCAAGTCCGCCCAGGAAACGATCGACGCCGCCAAGAGCTCGGCGCTCGACGCGAAAGACTCGGCCGTCGCGCAAGCCCTGGCGCCCATAAAGTCGGCCCAGGACACCATCGGCGCGTCGCTGCCCGACATCCCGCTGCCCGACATCCCGCTGCCCAAGGGCGCCGCGCTGCCGAAGGTGTCGCTCCCGGCGTTCGACGGCGACCCCGGCGACGGCCCCTTCGCGGCCGCCAAGGCGACGCTGCGCACGGCGGGCATCGGCGCCGCCGTCGGCGGCGTCGTCGGCGCGCGCCTCGGCTGGGCCGCGCGCGGCTGGGCGCAGGCGGCGTCGAGCGCGAAGGACGGCGTCTCCGGCAAGGCGAAGGACGCGGTCTCCGGCGTCTCCGGGGCCCTCGGCAAGGCGAAGGACGCGGT